GCTATGTTTCAGCGTTCCTTCACCAGAAATAAATGTGTCATTAAGAAAATCTGAGTGATGTTAAAGTCTTAAAAATCACCTGAAATATCAATTTCATATCAGTAAATATCATTTTGGCATTTTTAGATTGCGGTGTAATTTGCTGCACTATTTATTCTTCTAAATTTTATATTTAAAAAGCGCATTAGTCAATCAATCTTATTTTGAATCTTAATCTTAATTAAGTAATCTTAATTTTGAAGGGTAAGTTAAAATATCAAATCATTTAAGAGAATTCAAAACTTTCAAAAATTTTTAAATTAAAGGTGAAATTTTCTAAATGTGTGGGATTTCTAACAATCATGTTGAAGCCAATCTTCATGAAAATCAATGATAAATTAAAAATTAAATTTAAATATCAGATTAAAGCATGATTGACGAGAATTAAGCTATAGAATTGGATGCGAAAAAAGAATCTTTTTCCACCCATAGGAATCCAGAAATATATATATGTGTTTAAATTAACTCATATTCAGTACTGCAATCAAGTTCATCAAAATGTCACAAATGCATTTATCCCAGCAAAATCGTCATCGTTTTATTTATTGATTGCATTTTTTTGTAAACTGCGAATGGAAATTATTACAAATGGCATCGTTATCAACAACAAATTATAGGTGAATCTGAATGGTTTCTGGGTTTTTTAGAAATTTTTTCGACATTTTCAAATCCGTTTAATCATCATATTTTTTACGCAAGCCGTTATTCCTGCTCTGAGTGGCTCTACTATTTTAAAATGAAATCTTTTTGCCAGAGAGCTATATGGGCCGACTTATGGACTCCCATCAACCTCCGTATGGCAGGTTTAATACCATCAAGGGAACCATGATGATTTTGATCACGTTTAAGCATCATTTCACTAGTTATTCAATCTCAACTTTATCGCAAAAAATCTTCTTCAGCTCAATATGAGTGCCACGTGAAATCTTTGATTAACGATAACATAAATATATTAACCTATTGGCTTAAATCGTAGAAGTGTGAATTATTGTTCAGGTATGACTGAAATCAACGAGTTTCGTTTCTATGAAAAACTCAACAATATTATGATAATTCGTGATGGAATCTAGCGATAAAACCTATCATTTTTGAAATTTAAAATGTTTTAAAAGCGACGGTTATTTGCTGTTAGCTATTTATTTGTCGTTTTACGCATTTTCCATGATAAATCGAATTTTGGATAAAGAGCTTTTTTCTCATGTGTGGTTTTCATAGATCATTATTTTTGGCACTCCACTTGCTGCAATCAGCTATTTCAAATTTTTAAAATTTTTGATTGCGACCTTCACTTCTATTCCATTAATCTCGAACGATATTATTTTTCAGATTTAATGGCACTTTATTCATTATTTTTATCATTTGAGTGAGCGGATGAATAATACAAACAATTTTTCGCTTTTTTTCATTTCGAATTAGCAATAAAAACAAATTAAGGTGGAATATTATTTCATACTAACTAACTTACTTACTATTTAATCATTCCTTTCATCAAATTGCTAAATTTTGCTCATTTTTCTCCTCATTTATTGACTGCATTATACATAAATTTTAATTGAATCGGTGATATTTTGGCTTCCTTGGCAATCCAATTATTAATATTACTAAAATTGATTGCATAATACGAATAAATTTAGTATAAAATAATAATTTCAGAAATTTCTGGAAGTCGGCTCAGTTTCAAATTTTATTATGCTTATTTCTTGATATTTTGAAAGGCAACTTTTACGGAATATTCTTAAATTAAAATAGTTTGGGATATAATGTTGCTTCGAACTTCATTTTTTCATAAAAATATTTTTAAATGGATTTTTTTGCGCTTAAATATTGTTAGAAATAAAAAATGATGGAGGATGCAAAATCTTCAAAAAAATTTGGAGATTTTGATGAAGAACCTTATATAACTGCCATTTCTATAATTTTTCAGATTTATTTCTGTTGGTGCTTATAATCAATCTGGTAATTAGATAACTTCTTCTTTCCATTTAAACACTTAGCTCCAAATAAGCACTTTCTATTTTTTGGCATGATGCTTTTTCATAAGAGAATTGTGTGTGGAAACAAGTATAGGCGAGACTTCACCATTAATCAGATTAATCAGATATTTCACTATTAATGGCAGATTTACTCCAGGAATAGAACTCACAGTGATAGTCGGATCTGAAATCGCATTGGTCTCTTTATTTAATTAATCATTTATTTCATTAATTGTTTGTTTTATAATTTAATTTTTTTAAAATGATGATGTGCATATTCTAATTGAATTATGAGAAAAAAAATCCAAGATTAAAGCACCATTCTTCCTTGTTGGTTTATCTTTTTTATTGGACTATATTCGATGAACATCAATTAAGGCTATGAAAGTTATCATTCATCGTATTACACTGTTTTGAAATCTGAACCTTTTATCACAAATATCATTTTTAGAAGATTTATATAGCTTTTATTTTAAAAAATCTAATGTCCACAACTCGTATACTTTTCACTTAAAATCTTAAAAATATTTCTCTTTGAATGAGATTTTGAGCATTGAGAAAGAGGCCAATTCTTCCGGATCATTAAAATGTCTTTTAGATTTTTAGAAGCATTTCAACAGTTAATAATAAGCAAATAATTCCAATGCCTTGAATTTCTTAATCAGTTCTTAATGCTCCAATGAACGAGTTAGTTCCATTTTTTTATTTTTTTTACCTCGAAAAATTAAATGCTACATTGAAAAATGTTACATTGCACTGATTCTGCAACGAATTTCAACAGTTCAACAGAATTTCAACGAATTTTTATGAATTTTAAAACAGTTTTTGCAAATTCTGGTCCAATGATTCAAATAATCGTTTAATATTAATATTTTATTAATAGCAATTTTTTGCATTCCTAGGTGTAGAATGATAATATTAATTTTAACTTGTTTTCCTAAACCATTTGATTATGTCAGTTCCAAAAATTTCCAGTCATAGAAAAAAAGCTTCTATGGTCAGCGGGGTCAAGTTAGTTGTAGGAATGATAAAAAAAATAAAAGCGAGTGAATTTAAAGAAAAAAATTCAAAGAGAATATTGTCTCAAGGGGAAGATGAGAATAATTATGCAATTTGGGGGCGAATGATTGTGAAATGGAGAAAATAAAGCGATTTTTCGATGTCGTCATTAAAATGAAATTAGGTTATTATTGTTTGGCTATGGCAGGAAGATATCCCAGAAATTTTAATCTTTTGCTTTTTCATACATTTTTGGAATTTACTTACCTTATTTCGACAAAAAGTGCCTATTTAAGCGTAATTTGGCGAAATTATTGAGAAAAATCGTGCCAATTCAGTTGTTTAAAACGAAAATTCGAAGTGCTCTATAATGAAAAAATTTCGCTTAACAATTTTTTTTTGCATTTCTCGGAGAATGAATAATTTTTTTTCGTGGTTCTTTACTTCAGTCCTGGGTTTGGATCACCTAACACATTGAAATTCTTTCACGGTTTCTATCGTCTGAATTTTTATACAAGAAATAAGTGAATAAAATATATTGATCTTCAGCCTTCAATGTAAATTTTTTATAATAAAAATATATTTCAAAGAATAACAGAAATATAAATTGTGGCTGCAGAGGGTTATTGATGCGTTAAAACTATGGTAATTAATCAAATCAAAATTTCTCCTTTCTAAAGACTTGGTTTTATCAACCGATTCTATATAAATTTAAAAAGAAACAAAAATTTTAATCCATTTCTCGCTTGACTACTTTACTTTACTTGAGTTTCAATTTTATTCGTTAGAAAATTGAATAAAATACAGGCAGATATCCAATAAAACTCAAGAAATTTTCAATTATAGCCTTCGAAAGTTTAATAGATTTTTTTATTGTCAATTTTTAAAATTATCGAAAAGTTAATTCTGGTGTTTTGCTTTACTACTGAGGTGATTGCGGCATCGCACAGAATAAATTATAGAATTTATACAAATCACTAATCAGAAAATTATTACAAGTAACCTTCTAATTACCTCTACAAAATATCAGAAAAAAATTTTGATGAAAATTAGCATAGGAATGCACTACATTTTTAGCTGCTCAGGTATTAACTTATCTCATTTTATTACATTATCACTAGCTATAATGTACTGATTCAATTTAAGAGCGCTTAATTGACTAGTCTCTAAATACTGATAATACTAAAGTTTTGTCCGCGAATCAATTCGCGATAGAAGGTGAATCGCCAATAACGAGATTTCGAAAGGCATGTTAATTTCTGCAGGGTCTGGAAAATCGATGCACTGAAACAAATTGACAGAAAAACGAAATATAATAATCCACGAATAAAGTGCATAAAATGCTTGCATAAAATCAAATGAAAAACTGAAAGTAACTATGTTTTCTGTTTTTATTTAAATTTTAACGAAAAGTAGAAAAGTATTTATTATTTCTGTAGGCGTAAAACGTAAGATTTGGCGAAATAGAGAAATAAAATATGGATGTATCACTTTTTTACAATAGTTAGCCTTCGTGAATTGAAAATCTTATTCTGCCTTTCCCGTTCATTCCTTTCTTATCGTGCCTTGGCATGCAGGTGTTTCATAAAAACTTAACAAGTGTATTTTAATTTTCTCATTTTTTAAAATATCATCAAGTTTCATTTATTTGTTTAGTTGATATATACAGAGGTTTGGCCGTTTTTTATTTGAAGCATTTACCACTTTCTATGGCCATAATAAATCTAATTATGGATTAACCAACGCATAACAATAATACCATCCTTCACTTATATTTCACTTTTATTTCTGAGAATAGATAAATCCACAGAGTATCCACAAAATGCACAAAATTTAATGATCCGCATGCTTCGCCGGTTTTTTGCTGTGAATGATATCTAAGAATTCTTTGATAGTAAAAAACATCAATCATTTTAGATTGTTTGGTTATATGGATTTTTCTTTAATAAACAGTCAGGTATATTTATCTGCTTATTGGGAAACTGAAGAATGGTATTGCCTGTCGGAGCACCAGAGCACACTCTTATAAGGTCTTCACAGCCTAATGTTAATCTTACACGTACCGATGGAAATCGAGTAATTTCAGCGCTTCGATCAGATACAAAGGTGCTATCCACACATATTAGCGATCGAGGAGGTTATTCTCAGTCTCAGCCGCTACAACAATTAATGTTACCATCATCAGTTATGATGAATCGTTATCATCAAGGCCGACACACCGAAATGACTCTCGAACTTGGTGGTCAGTCAGGATTCTTCGGAACAGTAGGTGCATAAAAATACTTTTAAGTGCTTAAAGTATTCGTCACTGCACCATTTAATATAAAAAGACAAAAGGAGAAATAAGGAGAAATACTGCTTCAGACAGAATTTTCAATGGGATCGAAAAGTGTTAATTAAGTGAAATGGAAACTATTCATTTCTTCATGATTTATTCTAATTGTCTAATTTATTTTTATCTGCACCGAAATATATCTAATTTATTCTTGCTATCATTCAAGCATTTTTTCAGGTTTCCGTAGAAATTTTCAGGTATTGGGAGCAATTTTACTATTGCTCATTGTAATTTTACTATTGCTCTACATACTTTGATTTGTTCAGGGATTGTTACGTGTGAAGCAGCAACGAACTCGAGCAAAATCAGTACAATTAGGCAATTTAGAAAACTTATTTAATGCAGACATGATTGAATCACTCGATTACGAATATGATACTAAAGAAAATGAGCCATTAATACGGCAGCGTGCTGGTATAAATGGATCAGCCAGGTCAGTTTTTTTAGTAATATTTTTTAAATATTGTAGGACACTGCAAATTTTACAAAATTTTTTATAAAAAGAAAAAACTTTTTTAATTAAAAAAACTAAATTTTCCACTTAAATTTTCAAATATGAACATTTCCAGTTGACCAAAGTTAAGAGTAAAAGAACAGATTATTCAAAAGTTTTCTCTTGTATTTCAAATGGACCGGATTGCTTGAATTTCTAGAATTTTTCCAAGCTATTCCATATTTTCAACAGCTATTGCAGATCACGACTATCAGCACGAATGTCTCCATTTAAAGAAAAATGTTTGCCGTTGACGAAGGAAGAAACACTTGAACTATTATTACTCCTCAACGAAACAGGTTTTTTTAATGGAAATTGTCATAAATTCGCACTTTACCATCACATTACCTTGTTTTTTTTAGGCATGTTGCTTTAAAATTTCATGAACTGACTAAGTATAAATTAGTATTTTCTTTGAAGTTTGTTTTCCATGCTACTAAAATTTTGAATAAGCATTCACTAATTGTCAATTGACCAATAATTGCCAGAATTTTAGGTTTAGTGGATAAGACTTATGGTTCATTTAATTTTGCGTATTATAAAGCAATATGTTTTTAATGATAATGATGAAAACGCAGTCAAAAACCTTGGACAAATATTTTAGAATATAAAAAGCTATTTTATATACTTTTTTTCTAAAGCTCCTTCTATATTTTAGTCTATTTCATAATATTTTTAACAAATTGGATTACAGATTTGAGAATAAGAAGTAAAAGATTCCGAAAAGTCCAAATGAGTTATTTTTAAAGGTTTTGTAGGAATTCCTGATCTTATAGCCAGAAATTTGGGAAAAAATTGATAAATCAAGCAAGAAACAAGATCCAAAATTAAGAGGAAATCTGTCGCAAAACTGTCGAAAAGCTAAAAATAGATTGAATGAATCTTGTTGAAATTTTGTTCGAAATAGTTCAAAAATTTGATATATTAGATTACAAAATTTTTGATTCTCTTATTTTAGATAAAATCAAAATTTAAAAAAGTTGAAATTCGCAAACATTTGAATACATAGGCAATTCTAATTTTGATTAAAATTTCTCGTCAACAAATTTAATTTAATTCATATCATTTTAAGCAGCACATTTTTCTGTTTTAAATCTAAATCTAAATCTTACATTTGGGCATTTTTAATATCGATATATCTCGTGGGATCACAAAAAATAACGTTTAATATACAAAATAAATCTCAGCCATGAATTCAATGAATTTATCTGCTAACTTTCTAGCATCTAAAAAATTTTTGCTCTTGTGCAAAAGTAACGAAAACCTAAGAAAAGTATCCTCAAGCTACAATCCAACCACGACAACCTTACATCTTTGAAATTATTAAATAACCAGTTAAACCAGTTGACCTTTGTCTATTAGTTTTCATATATACATATATATATATATATACAAAAATACACAAAATACAAATAAAATACAACATACAAAAAAATTAAATATATATATTTTCGTTATCTATGTTATTATTACTAAAATTGAAATTGATATCAACAAAATTAATTCGCCAATGAAAATCCAATGTAATGTCGACCAATCCATGATAATGATAATAAAATAAATAATCCTCTATGTTGCAACAAACAAATCATGAATAAACCATTATTTGTAGAAAAAGATTAAGATTAAATGCTCCAGATAATTTCCGATACGACATTTTCATAGGAAATTTTTTAAAACATTCCCAGCAATTAAGTTTTTTTAAATATGATGATGCAAAAAATTGGAATTTCAAGAAAATTTAAATCTCAAATCAAATCACAAAATTTGAACTAACTGATTACCCCTTAGAAATTTTCGCCAAAATTTTCATCACAAATTAAACGAAAATATAGACTTCTTAAATAATGGCGAAAATTTGCATTAGCATAAATAAGAAGAATTAATCCGTTTAAGAATTCTTTTTAATATTTTCGTATAGCAAAATTTTTAGATCCTTCTTGAAATCAACAAATGCAACGGTAGCGACTACTCTTATAAATAAATATGAACAATTGTTCAAACAATGCTTTCAGTTGTTTCCATTTATTCTGTTCCACTTTCTTGGTCCATTTAATAATATGGTCTTGGTCCATATGGTCCATAAAAATTATTTTCTGAACTTTAATTTACTCAAGTCGGTTAGAAGAGGAAATGATAGTCAAACATGTCTTTTTTCATGATTTAGATATTACTAATTCTGGCAAGATTCTGGCTATTAGGATGGAACATTTTGCTAGAAAACAGCTTGGGAATATGGGAGGATACTACCATTCAGATTTAATAATTGAGTGAATAGTTTTCCTTTTTTTTTGCATCTACAACAAATTTTACTTATTAAAAAATTTGTTTACTTATTATTATGGAATTGAAGCTATATTTTTAATATTTATATCTTTACTTATAAGTTCTATTTTATAATTTTACTTATATTTTTTAATAGGAACTATCTTTAAATAGGATATTTTTATTTAATGAATTGATTTATGAAACTTAAAGCTAATTTACGAGGATCTCTAGCCACATGAGCTTAAAATATGAAATAGTATTTGAATTTGTCGTAGTTGTTGGTTTGTAAGAATAAGTTAAACCGATTTCGCTAAGAATTTTACAAATAAGCCCATGGGATTACAAAACGGAGTTCTCTCCAGAATTGTTTATCACATTTATGCATAATGAAATTGCTTTATTGAACCGGTTTTTATCACTCTGGTCTTGCATTTTTTTTATAATTCTTTGTAAATAAAACAAGCAATTTTTCGTTATTCGAATTTTTTGTAAATTTAGCTGAATCCAACTTTTATCTTAAATAACGCGCATGAGTTTGAAATATTTATAATTGATTAATATTATCTGATACTCATGCTAATGCACAACTTTCTATATGTCTATAGTTTCTATATTAGCAAATCTGCTCAATAATCTCCATTTTCTAAATTATTTTCTTGTGCCCGAAAAGATTAAATGATTTATACCAATACTTGTAGTTATATTTTTACAAGTAATGTTGATCGTTGAATGATCCTTTAAGTCAGTAGAGTAGAGGTAAGTATGATTAAGTCTTGAAAATACGCTTCATGTTCATTTTTAACGGAAAATCCATCTCTTGATTGCGATGAAAGCATTGAAAAAAAAGTTCATTATTTTCAAGAAAAGAATGTCTGTGTTTGTATCAGCAAATGTAGCAGCAAATTTTAATGAAACTGAGGAACAACGAGCAGCAAGGCTTTACTTACGTCGTGCATCGAAGAGGAAGATTAGCGTTGTTATTAAACTGGAAGATGGCACTATTTTGAGTAATACTTGTGGTAAGCTGAATTTTCCCTCTTAATTTCTTTGATCAAGTTTATCTATATTGATATTGGAATTATCCAAATCCGTCTTCTGTGCTGTTTTCGGATATTGAAGTAAAATATTTCCAAAAAAACAAATAAATGATTTATATTTCATAACAGCAAAATTTGGAACTCGAATTGCATAAGATTGTGCATAAGCATATAGTAAAAATAGGATGTTGTCAGCTGAAATTGTTAAAGTTGCCTTTTAACGACGGAAAGAGTAAGATTACTAAGTTTTTTTTCGACTTTTTTTGGTCTATAAAATATGGAACTAGCAATTGCTTTTTCAAATAATCCTTTATAATTTTTCTAAGTTTCATTTCGATTGTGCAGTAGCTTCATACGATTTGAATTCCATACGATTTACAGTACTGTGGGAGAAAACCGTCTTCCCCTTGTTCGCTTGATACGCGTTTGGATTTCAGATTTCGCTAACACTTGTGTTTTGTGATTTGTAGTGCGACTGGATAAGCCCAAAAACTCAATAAATTTGAAAAAATAAAATATCTTTAAGGTAAGAAAAATCACGAAAGATTGATGCATGACTATTCTAGAAGCAAAGTAAATATTAAGGTTGCTTTCGCTATTTCGCTACTTTATCTAGGAATGATGAAAAGGATATGAATTAAATAAAAGTTGTGGTCTACATATCTTTAAAAAAAGCCAAGTGGTTAGTGCTTATCATTTCTGGCTTCTTACTTTTTTTATATCAACATAGAAAATTTCCACTCCCCCATAGAATTATCGATCGATAAATAAAATCTCCTTCTCTTCCTATCTCCTGGATCTTTTAATTACAAGTTTATCTCTGTAAGAGAAATTAGAGAATCGAACTTCTGATGCTTTACTCCGACACCGATCAAGACAAGCATACTACTACTAGTCATACCACCAGCTCCTGACCTATGAAATATAAATTTCTTAACAGTGCACTTTTTTTGAATGTAATTAATGCAATTTGTAGATAATATCTAATAAATAGTATAGAGACAAAAAAAATTTCTAAAAGTTTGGAAAAAAAATCGCTGAAGAAAAAACAGGGAGGACTAGTAGATGTTCGAAATTTTCGGAAACAACTACAGTCGTTCCCCACTATCATTTTATGGATAAAAAAGGAAAAAGGCTTTACAAAAACTCGATAAGAGATAATGAAAAAACCTCTAAAAACCCATTAAAACTGAAAAAGCAAGAAGAACAAATCGAACAGTAATTTGCTATTATTTTACAAACGTAGATTTACTTTGAGATTATTTTTGATTCAGTAAACTGTTCAACATTAAATTGATTAGAAGCTTCGAATCTGCTGAATTTTCTGACAGTTTTTATTTTGGCTCTTCATTCGTTTTCCTTCAATTTTCTTCAAATTTTTGACAAAAGTTCAAATTTTTTTCAAATCGAATTGAATCAATTTAAATTTATAGAATTTTTTGCTGCATTTTTATCATATATTATTTTTTTCTGGCTTTAGTGGCAGCTGAATAGAATAGTAGTTCAATAGTTGTTTAGCGAGAACTAGGAATGATGTGATCTTTCGAGCTAATCAGAACAGCTATAGGGAAAGTTGAATGAAACCGACAATTAACTCGCTTTCATGAGAGCGCATATTCAACGACATACAATGATACTCATCCTCATCGGCCTTCATGCTCATTTTAAGCAGAATATCTGTCTACATGGTGCATCTTCTTGCCATGCATTCATTTCCTTTTGTTTTATTTTTTCAGTCGGCGATCGAACATTTAGTAAGTCTTCACATAGGGATTAGGAAAAAGCTATAATTTTATGGCGATTATATTAAGAAAATGTTTCGTCTCTTAATAAATATTTTAAAATCCACTGGAAAATCACTGCTCATTCTTGTAGGCTATTTATTCAGCAATGTGCTTGGTAACTGCAAATATTAGCTTTCATTATTTAAAGTGGTAAAGAAAATTGATAAGATTTTTCATTGGGCTCTTCTACATTCTAAGCCTTAAAGAAGTGTTGACTACTTAATATGGCAAAACCTTATCGATCAAAAAATTTCAAAAACCCTTTTCAGATTCGATTCCGCTCAAAAATGATTTTTGCTGGTAAGTTTCTTAAGAAAAGCATCTGTCATTTAAACAAATATTTTCAAAAATGATTCGATTAAAGTGTTGCCTTTTCTGATTCTATTGTACCAGAATATAGTTATTAGAATATTTTTGGGGATATTTTTTATCAGCTCTTCTTTAGCTTATCAATAGAGGCATTAATAAATGCATTTTAGCAAATTCAGTGAGTCTTTTAACTAAGTTACTGCTAAAATAAAGTATGTTCTAATGAATACGTGAATAAATGAATAAATGAATAAATGAATAAATTATGTTCTAATCGCTACTTGTCCATTTATTAAAATTTTCAAAAATATTACTAATTGATTTATCGTATGGCATAAGATGAGAGTTTTTCTAAATGCGTTACCATTTTCTCTCTTCTGCTTTCATCAGTCATATTTTTTAACGCAAAAGCTAGCAAATCTTTACTCATTAATTTTCTTTAATGCTTGAACCAAATATATATATATATATATATGTACGAGGAACAAAATAATTTATTTCTTTGTAAGGTTTGGCATCTATTAAGTTAGCATTACATTACTTGAATTCCGCATTACTTGAAGAGTACGATGAAAAAATAAAAGTATAATGAAACAAGCTAGACAATATCCTTCGATCTTACTTAACTAATTTCGAGCAATTTAGCACAATTTGTAATTTATTTGGCATAATCTCTGTCTGCAGATGAAAGTTCCCCATTTTAGCGAAATTCTAAATTTCAAACTGATGCAAAACTATATTCAAAATCAAATTGAATAACAATTAAATGATAATTTCGAAGTTGGCAAAGGAAAGTTTTATTGAGACTGTAATTGGAGTTTTTAGCTATAATTAACAAAGTTATAAATTAACGAAGTTAGGCGGACTTTTAATGAACCAAGATTGTAGAAGAATGGAATGAATTTAAGAAATTAAAAGAATTAAAAAATTATTTAAAAATTTTGAAAAGAAATTTATGAACAATATAATAAATAATAAATCGTAAAATATTTATAAGTATTAAGTATTTTTTTTGATAATTTTAATATTGATTGCAAGAGTTTTTCATTAGATTTTTCACACTTTTTCTTATTTCACTGGCTTTTAATGATTTTTGGCCATTTTCTTATTTTTTATTAATCATTATTTCTTTTAACTCGTTTTACGATTATTTCCATCAAATCAAATGGTACAGTCTCTGAATTTGCTGCTTAAACGTAGTGCTAAACACTTTTCGTCATTCTCTGCGGAATTCATAAAATATGTTTGATAAAAGAGATTCTTTTTTTCATGTTCTGTCACCATTATTTCTGAAATTCCAATTTTATTCCAATATTCATATTTTGAAAAATTATTTATCGCCATCTTCATTTGAATAACCATTTGACTATGCACTTTCCTGCTTTCTCTTAAACCAACTTTCATCGTGGAAACTTATTATATTAGAAATTAATATTACAATGCTCATCCCAATTATTTCGTAAATTTTTATAATTCTATAATCGTCAAGATTTCCTTTTTTCTCGTCTATTATTTATTTATGTGTAACAGTAGCAAAATAGCAATAATAGCAGTAGTAAATAATGAAATTAGTTCTACAAAATTGCAAAAAACTAAATCTTTACCAGTTCAAGATTGATAAAGTAAAATTCCAGATTCAGATTCCATTTTAGTCCATAAAACTTAAGCTTTTCAAGTCATGTTTTCCTGTTAGCTTTATTTCTTTTTTTTGGTGCAAATACTTCACCTAAATTTTATATAAGCTCATAAAAAAATTATTGCACTCAAGGAAGAAAATTTAAAGTTGATTTCTGCTTATATCATTATTTACTGAAAACGCAAAAAAAAACAAATTTTAAATCGAAAATTTTGCTTTGATGATCCAATTAGAAAACAGCCATAGAATACTTTAGAGTGAAAAAAACTGAATTGGAGCCGGCATCCTAACTTAGTTCAATAAATTGAAAACTTTAATCAAATTAATTTAATCGCATGATATGAGATTAATAAGTGGTTTCGAAATGGTCTGATCTGAGATTCTTTCGATAACTGTGAACATCTTCCATTATTTAAGAAATAAGAAAAAATTAAATATGTAAATAATGGTATGAAGATAGTTTCATGGCTTCCATTAAATAATTCTTACTATTATATTGTACTAAGCGAAGACAAATAGCCAAAAAAATTGGTTCTCTTGGTTTTATCAATATATGCCTCCAAGATGTTTGAAGCCCTTGAAATATATGAGAATAACCAGCGATCAAAGGTTTTAAAAAAATCTGAAATATTTTTTGCTTATTATTATTATTATTGGTGGTAAAGCAGAATAAATATTTAAATAATTCTTTTGTTGTGTCGGGGATAGAGTGGCTCAGTGGGTTGTTGCTCAACTGGGAGCGCAGATGTTGAGGTTCAATTCCCCGCAAGAGTAAACCTGTACAAGAAATCCGGGTGATGCTCACCTGTATTTCTATTGCCAAGAGATTCCCTGGCATATTGCTTAATGTGACAAGCCAGCGGAGCAAATTTGACCAGTAATGGTGAGGTCTCTTTCATTATTCATTCTTATTATTACTTGTTATATTAAATTAGTGGAAATACTTGATTACATTTTCCTTGGTTTTTCAGATCTCTAAGAATTCAGCTACTGAGCCTTTTAGATAAAAGAATCGTGAGCAAATTTTTGGAAAAAATAAGTTCATTCTTATTTGCGCAGTGCATCAGGTTGTTGTTAATTTGTAGTAATAATTGCAAACTTAAAGAATTACAAACTTTTTACGAATAAATAAATGTAATGACGCTGTTAATTGTTGTCAATATAGTTAGATTTCTGCTAGATGATAGAAATAGCATGCGGCATATCAGTGACAAATATTCCTGTCAGAGCAAAGCCCGAACCCAAATTTTCGACGCGAATCGAAATACCCTTAAACTCGATCTCAGCCATTTGCCAAATAAGCCAGATAAGCATCTAAAGCAAATTTCATGGGAAATGTAATATAAAATCTTGCATCTTACGTCTATATTTTAATGAAGATTAGTAAAAAAGAGTGAAAATGGATTTCAGTGAAAATAAAAATTGCCTTTAAAAAAATTGTTCTGTTAGTTGGAAAAAAAACTAAAAATTTCGATTCTTGGTTAAAATTGTTATCGGAATTCATAACTTCATTCTCAAAAATGGTCGTTGATGAATTTATTTTTAGAAGTGAAAAGAGATAGAGAAAAGAGATAATTATCTATTTTTTAGCTTCATCATTTGTTTTTCTTCTTTCGAGGTATTCATAGATAAAAAAAACCTTCATAAGTAGTGTTTCACCTTGAATATTGAAAAACACTTTATAAATTTA